GGTCTATCTACCCGTCTGTCTGTCTGCAATCTGCAAGCTTGAAAACGAAGCAATTCTGCGAGACTTCCTCAATTTTTGAACTTGATAACATCAAAAACGAAACAATTCTGCGAGACTTCCTCAAATTTTGAAGTTGGCAACATCAAAAACGAAGCAATTCTGCGAGACTTCCTTCAAAAATAGAAAGGTGAGTGCAGAGCTTACGGCCGCGTACCAATGCGTTTTGCAATTGTTCCACTCAACCTGTCTAAAGTACTGCGCCTGCCACGAAAAAATGATGCCAGGTCATACGAAGTGCTGCACCTGTCGCGCAAAATCATCTCAGCAAACCTGGCGATCTGATGCTCCAAAATGCAACCCCTCTCAGGAAATCAGCGGCCTGACCTCCTAACATCTCTGATGAACACAAAGACTCAATATGTTCATTCATTTTTTTTAATTCATATTTTTTGGGGGGCTCTTTCGCAATTGGTTTTTGCATCTTTTGCTGAGATGGTACTGTCATGATACGACCGTCATCACCACAAGGTATCAACAATATCGTGCTCCAACAGTGTTCATCACACATGTACATCTGTATGTGTGGGCTCATCAGGGCCCGTGGCATCGACCACACCGCCCCATCAAGTGAAATAGGGCCAACTGCCAACACCAGCCAAATTTCTTGCCTCTTTCGCCATCAGTTTTTGCATCTTTGTTGAGATGGCGATGATCTGGTGGGACCTCTGGCCTCTGCGGCCAAGCATGGATTTAGGCTGAAAGAAGGATGGATGTGTAAAATCCAACCTTGCGTTTCACCTCGTTGTACACACTCAAGCTGACAATTGTTTTGTCCAGCTGGGTTGTCTTGAACCAGCTCAAGGGCCATGACATGCACAAGTATTGTACATGGAATGCGTGTAGTCATGACCCAGCGTAGTGAAGCTAGTACAATAGATACGCACTGCTCCAACTTCTGACAACTGTTCTACGTCTGACAGCTGTTCCACTTCAGACAGCTATTCGGCTTATTGTACACAGGGTATCAACAAGTGTATTCTAACAGGATGATAGGTGGATGAATAGATAGATAGATAGATAGATAGATAGATAGATTAGATTAGATTAGATTAGATTAGATTAGATTAGATTAGATTAGATTAGATGGATAGATGGATAGATGGATAGATGGATAGATGGATAGATGGATAGATGGATAGATGGATAGATGGATAGATGGATAGATGGATAGATGGATAGATGGATAGATGGATAGATGGATAGATGGATTGGATGGATTGGATAGATAAGATAGATAAGATAGATAAGATAGATAAGATAGATAAGATAGATAAGATAGATAAGATAGATAAGATAGATAAGATAGATAAGATAGAATAGATAGATAAGATAGATAAGATAGATAAGATAGATAAGATAGATAAGATAGATAAGATAGATAAGATAGATAAGATAGATAAGATAGATAAGATAGATAAGATAGATAAGATAGATAAGATAGATAAAGATAAGATAGATAAGATAGATAAGATAGATAAGATAGATAAGATAGATAAGATAGATAAGATAGATAAGATAGATAAGATAGATAAGATAGATAAGATAGATAAGATAGATAAGAGAGATAAGATAGATAAGATAGATAAGATAGATAAGATAGATAAGATAGATAAGATAGATAAGATAGATAAGATAGATAAGATAGATAAGATAGATAAGATAGATAGATAGATAGATAGATAGGTAGATAGATAGATAGATAGATAAAGAGAGAGAGATAGATAGATAGATAGATAGATAGATGGATAGATAGATAGATAGATAGATAGAGAGAGAGATAGAGAGATAGATAGATAGATAGATAGATCGATAGATCGATAGATAGATAGATAGATTCACTGAAATATTGAAAACATAGATCCCATGAACCCCATAGTGGTTTTATTTCAAAACTATCTCCCAACAATTTTCTAAAACTCGCATTTTGGACTGGCAGGCTGCCTGCCTGTGTAGCAGGCGGACTGCTACAAGCAAGGGTAGGCATTTATTCTCATTAG